GTTATTTTAGTTTTACGTTGAGTGCAACGCAAAACGTAATAAACATAATGTAATAATACAAAATATGATTATTTTTTGTATTGTGTTCAACACAAAACATAAAGAATTGATTTATACATTTATTTAAATATAATCATAAAATATGAACAGGGGATGGATCAGTTAGAGGTATGAAAAGCATTTAAGGTCCTTCGTATGATTTTCCATAATATTCTCTCTCCTCACTTTTTTTTGTTTTTGTTTTGTTTTTTGTTTGTATTTTGTTTGTATTTTGTTTTTTTTGCTCGTCAAGGAATTTTCGAATTAAGGAAGTGCCCTCCTCCAAAATTGAAAATGTTAGGTCCCCCCTCCCCCCATTTCCTACGGGCCTGAGAGAAAAGATACATTTAGATTTTTTAAAAAGTTCACGATTCGACATACGTCTATCATATTCATGAGTTTGGTATTGGACATGAATATGAATAGATGTATGTCGAATCGTGAACTTTTTAACTTGCATAATTCAGTATAAAAAAAGTTTTCAAGGCCTGAGAGCGCAAACAAACAATGGCTGCGGACATTAAAAAATCTAAATGTATCTTTTCTCTCAGGCCCGTAGGAAGTGGGGGAGGGGGGCAACAATTTTCAATTTTGGGGGAAGGTACTACCTAAATTCGAAAATTCCTTGACGAGCAAAAAAAAAAAAAAAACAAAAAACAAAAAAACAAAAAAACAAAAAAACAAAAACAAAAACAAACAAACAAACAAATAAAAAACAAACAAAACAAAAATAAAATGAGTAGAGAGAATATTCTTTTTCTGGTCTGCAATGAACATGTAAAACAGTATGAAGAATGGACATAGATAAAATTACAATGCTTATAACTCGAGTTCAGAAAAAAGGCTTTGTATATATTTCTTTAATTTTGTGATTTTTTTAAATGTTCAATATTTGGGTTTTTGTCCTTCTCTCACTTTTTCCACAAAATTTAAGGTACTGTAACAATAATTTAAAGAAGATAACACCTTCTTCCTTCTTTTAAGATAAGATTACATTACATCTGCCAGTGCAAATCTATTTCTCTAAATACTATGATTAAAAAAAAATAATCCCCAAAACAAACACACACACACATGCGCGCGCATTTCTAATTTTAAACAGAAATGATATGGATATCAACTGCTTTGAAATGACTTATGAATTATCAATATATGATAAAATCAGTTCTAATGTAAGAATTGGTATATATTTATTTTCTCCTTTTGTATTTTTCTTTTCCGATTCTTTTCTTCATCCACTACTAAATTAAAAATCATTCTCAACCTAACAGAACAAAACCTGTGTTATTACACTGTGCACTGTTGCATTTTGCTTAATCTCGACGCAAAATGTAACACAAAATGCTATAATCCCAAAAGTGTGTTACTACATTTTTGTAAAATTTTAAAAACGCAAAATGTACTAATTAAGGAAGCTCTAAACACTGCACATTAAAGAGTTCTATTTGTAGGGTAGTTTTCTTAAGTTAGAGTGATCTGCCCTTAGAAAAAAAATGCAATAAATGGGAATCTACAGTTAATGACACAATTTCTTATGAATTAAAGTATTCTTAATGTTATGTTAGACCAAGATTAAGTAATTGAATACATTATTTCCATTCATTTTCCCGATGCAAGTAAACAGCAGTGATTTCTGTTCACAAATAGTTCATTGTCTTTAAACATTTTTTCTGCAGAAATAAGGCAGGTACCCTACATTGAAAATGAACTAGATACACTGAATATGTGCACATTTTTATGATATATTTTTCTCAAAGTCCAAAAAGCAATTTTCGTTAGTGTTTAGAGCTTCCTTAACTATCCAGAGTTGTCTTTCCCGATACGCTCCCACATACACTCTATCCAGAGTTGTCGTTCCCGCTACGCTCCCACATACACCTCTGTCAACGCTTGTTATACAAGAATCTTGGAAAAATTGTACACGGAAAATTATATTAAAAATTGTTTTTGATCTTTTTATTTTTAGTGAAAAGGACTTATTTTTAATCTACCATCCCTTTAAAGATTTTTTATCCAAGTTTTTAAGTTTTACTCCGCTATTTAAATTATAGTTCCTTAAAAATAGAGAAAGTAAATCCTTTTAAAGGAATGGTAGTTTTAAAATAAGGGATAAATTATCATCTTTATTGATAATTACATTAATTCATTACGATTTTAACTGTAAATTTTCACTTTTTTAAAAAATTTGTACAAGAATCTTGTACAACGAGAGTTGACATGTTGGGAGCGCAGCGGAAGACAACTCTGGATAGAGAATGACACAAATCGTGTTATAAATTTACATTTTGAGTTGATCTCGAGGGAAAATGTATAAAAAACCAAAGAAGGTAATGATTATAACATTTTGCGTTGTTATTACATTTTGTGCCAGTCTGTTTGAATAGTTTTATTGTGGTAATGGTCAGGTTTTCAAAATGTATATAAAATAAAATGTATAAAATAAATTATATAAAATGTATAAAAAACGTTTATTGTCATCAATATATGGAATATCCAAAAATTAACCCCATACCAAAATACACCTTCACGTACGAATTTAAATAAAAGAAATCTAGTATGTGTTTACATTATTCTTTGTATTTCAATGCAAGTGTATAATAACAAGTTTCAAAAATACCAAATTCACAGCGTAGATCTATATCATTAAAAAAATGTATACAAGTCATATAAACTTAGCATAAGGAAGAAATCACCGTCTTTAAATATATGGATATCACAAAGCCTGGACGATTTTTTTTAAGAACACAATATTTGTACATAAGAATGCATTTGCAAAATTCAATTTATAGCAACATGTCAAGTATTTGATAAATTTCTGTACATAATGATAAAGTTAGTTTCAAAACGCTTTCATAAATATAAGACATTATTATACCTCTGTGAATTTTTTCTATATAAAAATAATACGAATAAACATGCTATTTTTTCCAACCAGCACCTACCGTGGAATAGTTTTCGTGCTATTTGCCCATGGTGAAATAGTCATTAAACTATTCACCGGGAGCATTCTGTTTCCCTCGCTTTTCATATGGGAACTCTTCTGGTTTTATACAGATTGTGACGTAACACAAGTAAAGACTGCTTCGGTATAATAAAACACTTATTTACTGACTATTCGGACAATAGCAAGTTTATCGTTCCCCTCGACAGCAACTATTTCCCTCGGCTGCGCCTCGGGAAATAGTTGCTGTCTTGGGGAACGATAAACTTGCTATTGTCCTCATAGCCAGTAAATAGGTGTATACTATATGTCATCGCTGTTATGTAAGAAGAAAGATGAATATGTTTTCATTCACACAGATTATCTTCCTGTTTTTCTCGACAATGGAATCTTAAGATAGAGGGAATATCAGAAGCATTGATGAAGATATTAGAAATATAAGAAACCTTTCAAACATGCAACCCATACTGAAGATGATATTTTTGATTAGTTGTCTTGACAGCATTGCCCCTGTAAATAGGTAAGATGAGAACAATATCCAGTGAATTTCTGTGATACTGGTCCTTCATTAGAATGTAGAGAGAAAAAAAAATAATGAGTTTCCTTTACTGATTCTCTAAAATAAAATCAAATGGAAATATGTTTTATTAATTCTGTGAATATTAAACCAAGAGATATTCTACAATGCTGTATGATAATTAATTCAGGTATATCAAGTATATCAAACTTTCTATAAAGGAGGGCTTGTCAAAGAAAATTTATACCATACATTATATAATTTTCCATGGTAATTAAAAAGCGAATAGTTGCTTTTTGTCATGCTTAAAAAGTAAGAAATTAAACTTAAAGAAATCTTCAATTCTATCTATTTTTTTCTAAGATATCTGTATTCACTAAAAATACTAGTATTACTTTCAAACACAAATGGCAATATGTTCAGATTCTCTAATGACACACTCAAACGTCTTTTGGTGAAAGTATTGATAATAATGCATGGATATGATTGATTGGATATTCCACTGCAACTTAAGCATTGTGTAAAACAAAACATACTGGCTTGGGTATGATGGAGAAACATTTAAAACATACTGCGTCATCGAATCGAAGGTAAGCAAAATAACATGTAAGAAAAATCATCAACGTAATCATGTAACAAACAGACTGCTTGAAGTTCACGAGTAAATTAAACGGTTTCAAAAAGAAGCACTTTGTAAAACCTCGTCAAGGTATAAGCTTAGGGGCCATTAGGTAAACAAATATGAATCTACACTACACTGGGATGCTAACACATTGATACATGTAAGACTGAAGGTGCCATTGCTGATTTAAAGAATTTTTTTTTTGTGTTATGAATAAAATTTCCAATTATTTTTTCATCTTTTTATGTTGAAATGGACCGGTTTTATGGCAATTTCCTAGTTCTGGAGACTATAATTTGAAAGAACTTCAATATTTACACTGATTAAGTAAAATTTTTATACTTTTATCTTATCTGACCAAGCAATTCTTCCCAAGGAGTGTTTATATAGACCAGCTATATTTTCCATACTTCGTAATTTTTAATCCCCGAAAGAGCGCCTTTTTTAATTGAAGAAAATGAATGTCTCCACTCATTGAAGCCTCGTGTTGAAATTATGGAAAGTGTACGTATGACAAACTTTACACAGTGGATGACAGCCAGATACTTTTCCACCAGAAAAGCTCAGTTGGGTACTAGTATTTTGCTCAAATGAGTTAAAACGTTTCATAGCTTGACGTCAGGGAGAAAAATAGAAAAAACAATATTCAAACTTAGCTCATCCGTTTGTTTGAAATCTGAATCCAGGTGAGGATATGGATTTTACAATTGTAGAAGATATAGTGTAGAGTTAAGTATGACAAATACAGAATCTCTGAGAGATCAAACAATAGTATAGAAGACTTTAAGATTATTTGTTTTCAATGTATAACTTCATCAGAATATTTCATTCATTGAGCGCTATGGTAAGCCTTATTTTCAAATTCCATGTGAATACCAGATGCACTTTGAGGTCGGAACTCAGACGATCCAAGGATAGTTTTGCTGCTTTCTGGAATGGGACTTATTGTCTCGTACCTAGGCGGAGGGGATTGAGGACGATTCTGTGATATGGTTTTGTAATGCTGACGTGGTGGTTGACTGCATTCAACAGGGCTCGTGACATCTGGCATTGGACTTGTAAAAGAAAATAATTTATTCATAAAAACTGATTTTTAAGGAAAAAAGTGAGGACAACAAACGGTGATCGATCTAAAAGATTAGACAAGAAGACACAAATTTGAATTATTCTGATATTTAACACTTGTTGCCTTTATTTGATGCAAGCGAAGTTTCAAATAAAAAAAAATTAATACCTTGGTTTTCTTGAGGGTCGCAACTTCATGTACAGAAGAGCGATGGTAACGGACAGGATGAGGACGGAGAGTACAATCAAAGTGATTATCAAACCAAAATGGACATCTACAATGTACACACATTTAAATACTCATCTAATACATGCTTTTTATATTCCAAAAATTCAAACATTGTGCAAAAATACTGTATAGTTTTATGCTGTTTAATAAAATTTCAAATTAAAAAATGAACAAGAAGTCTAGGTCTGTGAGCGAATGCTCACTAGTAATACCCCCGCTCTGATGTGAATATACACTCTCCTGTTGACATCGAATTTATACAAAAACGAATCCCACCATATGGCATGCCTAAACAAAGAGTGTGCTAAAATTTCGATCATCTGTAGTAAGTAGTTGTTGAAAAAACTGCTACGAAAATATGTTACGGACAGACGCACGGATAAACAGGAAGTTGATATTGGATCCGAACAAAAATAAATCCCACCATATGGCATGCCTAAACAAAAATTGTGCTAAAATTTCAAGCATCTGTGCTGAGTAGTTGCTGAGAAAACTGTGAAAAAATTTTGTGCGAACAGACGCACGGATAAACAGGAAGTTGAAATTGGATTTAAACAAAAATGAATCCCACCATGTGGCTTGCCTACACAAAGAGTGTGCTAAAAAGCATCTGTGCTGAGTAGTTGCTGAGAAAACTGTTACGAAAATTTGGTACGAACAAATACACGGACACACAGACAGACAGAGAGACAGCTAGACAGACACACAAGGGTAAAACAGTTTAACCCCTACCCTTCTCCTTCGGAGCGGGCGTATAAATATGATCGGGAAAATGAAACTGTTTTATAAAACAACAGAAGGCGTATAGAACAATATGATATTGTAATACAAATTTCCAAAATGTCATATTATTTAGCATTCTATTTTCGGTGCATATTACAAGTTTATGGCTTAAAAACAATTTTAATAAGCTTTTTCAATTTATTTTCTTGGGAAAAAATAAGAAAATGTTAAAAATTTCCAAACCGACTTTCAGATTTTTTTTTCAATCTCAAGTTGGGTTACCCTAAGGTAATCATAAGGTTCAATAACCATAGGAAAAATGTATAGATTGGATTCAAACGAAACAATTCTTCGAAAAATGATAAATGTTATCAAAAATAATTTTAAATCAAAACTAACTTTCATCTTCATCAGGATCTGGCGTTTTTGGTGGCTGCTTCCGTCCTTTTCCTGGTTGCTGAGTTGTGGGTGGATTCTGAATACTTGATGATCTTGCGGTACTCATCTCCGTTGTTGACTGCTCTGTTGTGGTTGTTGTTGGACAAGACATCTAGAGTGGCATATAGCACGTTTCATTTATAAAGGTTTTGACTATTTTGATTAGGGAACTGGTATCATATTTCAAACGAGAAAGAAAGTCACAATGGGAATTAACCTAGGGGACCGCATTATACAACTTTACTTTATTCAAAAAATTATGGTAAATATTCTAAAATGCTGAACAACAAGTGCATTTTGTAACAAACGAATTGAATATAGACTTTTATCTTATTGTCTTTCAAATGATTTACCTTCATACTACATTCATACGTTGATGCACTGCAGTTATAGCACTCATCATTATATATGACAAGTGTCATGGGATCACCATAATTGACGCCATCATACGATAGAGTGATATCAAAGCCGCTGCCGTAAACATTTGCCAGTGAGGATCTTTTCCTACGTGAATTGGTTGGAAAGACAGCTTTAATAATAGTTGGGCCAATATATGTGGCAGTTGTGATGTGTGTAGACAATACGGCTGATTTTCCGGAATCTGTTATCTGAATTTTACATATAAAAGGTTAAGAAAAAAAGTTAGATAACGAAAATTCCAAATCTTTACTATAAACTTAGATTTTAAGATAAAAGGTATCGATTAGATGCTTTACAATTATACTCGTATTATTTATAAAAACATAGATTAATATCAGATAATGCTCTTGGAGCTTAAAATAATGCCATTTATATCTTATTAATTACAATTAGGTAAAAAAAAAACCATACCTCAAAAAAATAAAATTTCACATGGACAGTTTTTGCTAAAAAGTAACCGTAAATGTTTGTATTTGCGCATGATCTTTTACTGGTTGTGCACAAGCCATTTTCCGGTAATGAAGTATTTGTAGGAGGAGTTGTTTTGGCATGGGAACAATCGAAACCAACAAATGAAGCACTGCATGAACAGACACCTGTGAAAAACAGAGAATCATTCCTATTTAAAGCAATTTTGTCTAAAGAGAATTAAAGGGGCATTTGTGTCACGGTAAACCCATGCATTACATTATTAAACACTCTAAATAAGACACAATAGAGTCTGAAACATCTGTTTCATATTTGGATGTATTACTAGAAAAAGACATACATTGCAAACTAAAAACAAACTTTATGATAAACGTGATGACTGTCTTCACCTTTTCTACCCTCCTTTTTTCTTGTTTATGCTGCAATATACCTATTCACCTGCATATGGAGTTTATGCCTCCTAGTTGAATCGACATGCTAGATAGAGCATGTTCTGCGTACAAAAAAGAAGTCTAAAATGAGGCAAGCTATATACAATTGAGAAGATGAAAAAAATATCAAAAATCTTGTTAAAAGTCAACATTTTGCAAATTCTAAGGTCGATAATATTATCTTGTCTGCAAAAACAATTTATCATTAATAAGTTGAATGTTGACTGATTTTTTCATACAGAATGAAAGCCATAATTTTCACACTGAATTGTCTACGGGTTTTCCCGCTTGCTTGATCAAGACAAAGAGTACACGGCGGGCGTGACCGGTCGGAAAGGGATGCTTACGTCGTCATGGCACCTGATCCAACCTCTGATGTTTTTAGAGGTTGAAGCATGTCACGTGACCGCCTGGATCACGTGATTCGCGCATGGGCAGAACAATGTCACATGTGCATTATAATCGGAGAGGACTACTTTAAAAAATAATGAACACTGAACCTCATTTTATTTCTTTTAAGGAAGTTATTCATTTAGTTCGCGAACTTTTTAATCACCCCTCGTATAAACCCCATATGCAGGTGATAAAGGTATTTTGCTACAAAAGCAAGGGAAGATGACCCTTTTCATAAAGTTTGTTGTTAATTTACCATTAACGTTTTGAGACATTTTTAATCTAAACACTCGATTAATTATACATTATTAAAACCCATACCTGCAGTACAGACGCCATTTCCTGAGCAATTACTGGGACATACGAATTTTCCAATCCTGTCAACCACAGATTCTCCTTGGGTGCCATTTGCTTCGTAGAATATTTCGTATTTTTTGATTTGGGTAAAACAGAATTGTTTTAGCGATTCGATTGTGTAGCTTGTAAATTCTGTAGTCCCAGCATCCTGTTGGTAATTGATATTTTCCTTATTAAGGTTTCCTAGTAAAATCTTTATCGTGAAGTTAAAAAGTGTGATATTACTTGCATTTATCAGTGGTCAGATTCATTTTTATTAATAGTTTTAGATTTGTTGAGCTATTAATAGCAGTGTGGTGTAGAATTGACCTCATTGCAATATTAGGATACATTTTGTAATAGTAGAACAGTAGAAGTTTATTATTATTTTTTTATTATTATTATTTTTAATTTTTTATTTTTTTAGTTTTTGCTGACAATCTGTGATCATAATAAACAATTATCAGGAAGAAATATTGCTTAATTAAGAACATAAATTTTTGATCGAATACTCCGTTCCTTAAATTTCCGCTCATATTGTTTCTCTGCACACCTCCCTTTGAGTATCATCCAGTGAGAGATTTATAATTATACGTTTATCAATATTACCCGTATATCTAGGACACATTCTTCTATGGCAGTGTTGGTTTTGTTCTCCATTTGGATATATTTCTGACATTCTGTTCTAGCTGGGTCACTAAGTACAACATTCTCACAGTGTGAACGAGCGGACGTCTCTGTCCAACCATTCTTCCAAGTAGGTGTCTAAAATATTCTATCGATTAGTTATATGTACATAAAAACAGAGAATAATATATTACAATACTGACAACTAAATTACGCGTTTTAAAATTCTCTTCGTTGAAATAATTTGTAAACATTGCCAGAAAAAAAGCCAGTCGGTACAAAATTGAATGAACCTTTAAGCTTTAGAATATTAGCATTGTAATTGATTGTGTTTGCTTGTTTGTTTGTTTTTTTTTTATTTTATAAAAATAATTATAAAAAAAATATTTTTTGTTATTTTATCAATTTGATTCATGATTTACTGCAAGAATAAAAATTATCGCTAAAAATTCAAATTTATGTTTAATCATGTACTCTCGAAAATTGTTAAACTGACGATGACTGAATATGATAGAAGTATGACAAAAATCACCGGTGGGTTAAAGTTTGGATCAAACTGTGGATCCAATGCAAGGGGTGGAGTTTCTATGATATCATCAGTGTCAACACTCTTTCTGAATCTCTGATGAGAGAAATCCATATCACCCGCCTCTCGCTTGTGTCGGTTTTGGTAGCTCTCGCATGTGGATGTAAAACTTCCTGATGTTGTTTTTTGAGAGCATATGAGAGCCGGAGTTGCTATGGAACAATTTGCAGTGTAGTGATTAGATAGCGGGTCAGTGTAATTTGATATATTTGTGGCACAGTCACAGTATTTTTGTAGCTCAAAGTCATTGCTATCCAATATGGGGTTAGGTCCAAAAAGGCTCCTTGTTGAATTAATCTCAACTCTATGATGAAAAGGCATGGAAAATCATAGTATACATATACATAAACAAGTAACAATTACTCACGCAAAAATTTACAAGCAATGGCAAAAAAATATTTAGACTTCATATTTGATAGAAATCCCCGTTGTGCTTTTTTAGTCCTTAATTTAATTTGAATGGAATTTGTTTCTACGTTTAATGATATTGTGGCCATGATTTTTACCTCCAACTCAGCTGGAAGGCAGTCTTGTTGGTGGTAGCAGACAATGACCCCTGAAGGGTGAAGTCGTCAGTGTCATCATTGTTAGGATTACCACATAACCCATCTACATTGTCCTCATCGAATATGGAGGGCGTAATGTGAATATTATACAACCATTTGTGTCCCACGCTGTATTCTACTATTGCTCCAGTAGGTAGAGTAATCTGAGAATTCAAACGTAACATCTCATAGTCAGTAAATAAAAGGAAAAGGCCAAGTGCCTGCTTTACATCGTGTTAATTTGGATATAAACTCAAAGTATTTACTGCATTCATTTCCAAAACTTTAAGGATATTTATATCAAATAATTTTTTCCATTTTTTCTAACGCTGTTGGTTCCTCTTTTAAAATGTCTTTCAATATTGGATTGAAAACGTCAATCAGCATTTAGGTTTGAGTAACTTAAATGGCATTTAACATTTAATAACTTTTAAAAGAAAAAAATGATTTACCTTTGTCCAGGGATTTCCTATCTCCACTACCATGTGTCTATTGTCACACACGTGGTGCACAGTGTCATGATGAATGAGAGGCTTGGAATACCGGTATGAAATCTCTTCACAAGTACGATGTACAAATAGAGAGTTCTCCACCCTCACGGCAATACCACATCCACAGGGACCCTGTCCCCTCCATCCGTTCCAGGTACATGAGGAAAATAATGCGTGGACCTTAGATCAAGATTTATTAATCAGAAATTGATACAAATAAAGGAACAATGAGTAACTAATTATTTATCTTAGCAGCCTCAATTTACTTTTTTTTTTCATTGATCAAATATATGGAGATAACGAGCAGTATTCAAGCTCAAAAGTTCATTAAACAATACAAAATAGGAGCAGAGCAAACACTGTCCTCCAACACATCAGAAGAGGGTCAGGTGCCATGGAGTAGTAAGCATCCCCTGCCGACCGGTCGCACCCGCCGTGTGCTCCTTGTCATGATCGGAAATAACGGAAAAATCCGTCGACAATTCAGTGTGTAAATAATGGCCTCACAATTAGTATGAAAACGTCAGTCAGCATTTGACTCAATGATTTAATAATAAATAAAAATTATTTCTTACACTTATTTTTCTTCGTGTATGTCTGTACATTATAAATTCCCCTGCTAGCTGAGCTGTCCAGTATTTTTCATCGAATGTTTCCATTCTAGGGTCGGTTCTAGCATAGCACAGTTTGTTAGCAATGCCGCTATCCACATCATAAAGGAATATCTAGATGAATGCAATGAAATGTTTTAATGTTAAGCTGATATATATGTCCCATATGTTTCAGTGAAAAACCTGTCACCCTACCTTTATATCTGGCATTGTAAAATTGTCCCACACGCCTGATGGATCCATCCCATTAGTCTTAGCACCTAGTCTGATATTCACGTCTCTATCTCTATTGTTTATCAATCCGTCTGTCTTTCCCGTAACATTCAATATTTTTTTAAGCCACCAGGTAGAGGTCCTGATTTCAATCCCACAGGCATTATCCTCAAATGATACGGCTCCTTGCTCGGTGTAATTTCCACATGCTCCGACGTGTAATTGGTATTCCGGGGTAAGTAGGTAAATAGAGGCAAGGCAGCCTGCCTTAAACTCAACGTTAAAACAACCAACTGGTACGGTGACTGTTAACTCGATGGATATTTTCTCTCCTTCTTTAACAGAATATCTAGATGATGAAGGCTGTATAAAATATACATAACGTAAAAGCAAACAAGCCTTGCCATATTTCCTTAAATTTCCTTAGAGTTTTTTTTTTCAGGATTCCTTTCAAAATCCTCCTAGAAGGAACCAACATTTTGATAACGGTCGCATTTGTATCTTCATTTTCCAAATTAATATAATAGCAACATTTGCTCGATATTTTTTTTTATCTTCACATTAACTTTTTACTGCTCATTTTAAGAGACAATACTAGTTCCACAACGTATTGTTGTAGATTTCTACGAAATTATATTTAAACTTTTCCTTCCGATATGCGACTTTCCTAACAACGACTTACATCTTAAAAATACCTATATATTCTTGTCACCAACATATCACTCAAACATTAATGTTTTCTCCCTTTTTCATATTTTACAAATATGAAAACTGTATAAGCAGTGTACAAATTCATAGTTAGAAAAACTTCAGGAACAGAAATATTTTTTTTGTATAGATTTTACAATAAAATATTTAAATCATTGCAAATAAATCTCTTTTTTTAAAATTTTGATACAAAGTACTCACAAACATTCCAGCTTGAAATTCCTTGCTATAGTTGTGATGACCCGGCGTTCCACCATCTGAAAATCGCACTCGCACTGAACACTTTACATTTAATAGTAGAAAACATTGTTCTTTAATATTCATTTTTTTTTTATTGTTAACTAATCACCATCTAATCAATAAGGCTATAATTTTGCTGATATTTGTACTCGCATGACGCGTCAAACTTACAATTATAGGAAACATTAACTGTCTTCTTCATTAATGTTTCCTATAATTGTAAGTTTGACACGTCATGCGAGTACAAATACCAGCAAAATTATAGCCTAATTGATTAGATAGTGATTAGTTAACCTGCATATTTAATTTAAATCTTAAAGTTGATTCAATACGCAAAAGCATGTTCTAGGTACGATCAATTTCTTAAAAGAGACAGGCTATTGACAAATAAGTTGATGATACAAGGATATTAAGAATAGAATCTCGTTTAAAGTCTACAATACGCAAATTCTATAGTCGATACTATTACCTTGTTGCTACTACAATCTATCGGGAATTCGAAGTCGAATGTTGACTAATGTTGTTTACATGAATTGTCTACTGATATTTGCCTTTGACCGATCATGACAAAGAGCACGAGGCTGGTGCGACCGGTCGACAGGAGATGCTCTATTCTCCACGGCACCTGATCCCACCTCTGTTTTCAGAGTTCCTTATTTGCTCTGCTCAGAATTTGTATTGTTCGATTAAACTTTGAGCATGATGACTGTTCATCATCCTCACATTTCATTTCTATGGTTAACATGTTTAAAAAGAATATCACATCTATGTTCATCTGGGTACAAGTATCATTACCTCTCATTACCCAGACTATGGTTACTAAATGTGCAGTTTTACATTTAATTTTACTTTCATACTTACTAAGTCTACAATTATGGAAATCCCGCGTTTGGAGGTATACAAAATTCATTTCAATTAGCTTATATTAATAAGATGAACGAACTCTGTCCTGTTATTTGCAGCTACCACACAATACTTGTATTGCTGTAGATTTGGACTCACCACCATGTTCAAGTTGTAACTGTTGACCCAATCTCTGGGGTACAGCCAGCTCTGGTTGTCCTGATAGGGCTTTGATTCTATCACCTTTACTTCGTCTGTGTTGATGTACCAGTAGGTGTCGTACCAGTAGGGCCCCCCGGAGGGTTCTGAGTGCAGACACTTGAAAACCGCCTCTAAGGGTTGGAAGTTAGCCAGCCGTTCGCCATATTCTAATGATACATTCACTGTTGGTGCTGTGTTTACAGGAGCACGTGCTAAAAAATGAGCTGTTCTATTTGAAGGATATGTTTTTTTCTCTTTCATATATATAAAGTATTTCTAATCATTTTCATAGAGAGGCCTATTTGTACTAAAGTGTGTAACAGCTTTAGATTTTAAATCATGATTACAATATTAATCATGTTGCATAATCAAGATTACATTGAAGATATTTCAGTCAATCTAAAAATACTACAAAAAGATTAAAACCTTTAATATTAAAGTTATTTATATAACTAATCAGTGGTAACTTCACTACCGTCGCTAGTTGTTTTTGGTATTATAACAGAAAAAGAAATATCTTCTTTTATTAAGTCTAATTTATTCCAAAGTTTTTAGGAATTATTTTTCAATGTATGAGAAATCATTACTAGATTTGACAGTGTTGAAAAAATGATATGCCATCCAAAACGATGATTACCTTGACAAGGTGTGAATCCAGTCGTCGATGTTTGTCCGTCTGGACACGGCGATTCCTCTCCTGATAGAAAATGTAATTTTTAAAGTCTATCTTTTTGATTAGCTATGATGCTTAAAATTTATATAATTCAGACCAACAACTAATATGGAAGAAAATATTGCTTTAAAGCACGCATGGTTTCAGTGCGATATATTTTAAAACAAACAATTTGAAATGTAAATAATTATTCAAACCTTACTTACAGAAATAGTCACCTTTGTTTCGAAATAAGGAGAATAAATAAGAGCACGGGAAATTTGCATAATTTGCATTTTTCCTATTTCCATACCACTTGATTTTTTCTTACCTATGCAGTATCCAGTAGCTGTTTGAGGAGCTGGTACCAGGTAGTACACTCTGAACACGCCACAACTCTTTACTTTGATCGTCAATGTCTTGTCACATGAACTAATGAATCCAACAATACAGACAGTTCTGTTCACCTCCCCATCAGCATCTGAGGGAAGAGTGCCTTAAGGAGAAGAAAATATAAATTTATATAATAAAGATAGCTTCAGTCACATTAGAATAAATCCAATGGTCCATAATGTTTTTACTAGTCATAAAATTTCCCAGGATACTGGATTTTAAGCGGGTCAGTATATACATAGAGATCCATTCCTTAAACGTAATGGGCTTAGGCCACTTCAGTGCCTAGGCTCCATTACTTTTGAAATATGTTCAGTAGGTTCTCCAGACATGGACAAAGAGATATACCTTCTAATTGATTAGTCAAAATAAGATAAACAAGAATTTTATGGAATTAAATTAATCAAGATGTACAAAGCAATAATTCTTAAAGCAATATTCCTAAGCTATTTCCGTGCTTTAGCTATTCAAACCAGTTGTATGAGCTTCCAAAAGCTCCCAGACCTTATGTCTCAGAGCAGTGTATTCAAACACTCCATACGAGGGTTGTTCGAAAAGTTCGTGGACTGATGCGATAAAATAAATATTATGTAGTCTATACTTACAAAATTTTTAATGAACATAAAACAACAAAAGTTAAAGAAATGTTGAAAATTTTAGCTTGATACTTTGAATATTTACCAAATTATCATAAAATAAAAGAGACATTATATGATCACCCGGCCTGTCGCCGTATAGTTTCATGACGTCATTGTTTTTCAATGTCCGCATTCTCTACCTCATACACTTATCTTGATGAGTTTTCGTGGAGTTAAGTAAAGATTTAAACCCGTCTTGTTTATATGATTTTACAATGTCATAAACAGCTGGTTTCAATGCATATATACCGTTCACGGTAGCTCAGTCGGTAGAGCGCTCGGGAGGTCGTGAGTTCGAATCTCGGCCGCGACAGACCTAAGTCGATAAAAAAATAGGTAGCAACTGTTCCTTCGTCATGCGCTCGGCACTTTGAAGTGAAAGTTGCGGGTCCTTGGGATGAGACCTTAAAAACCGAGGCCCCGTGTCACGGCAGGCGTTGGCACGATAAAGATCCCTCACTGCTCAATGGCCCTGAGTGCCGAGTAAAGGTCAAAATTTGAAGCCCTTCACCGGTATATGGTGACGTCTCTATATGAGTGAAAAAATCTCGAATGGGACGTAAAACAATATACAATCAATCAATCAATGCATATAGTATTGTAAATAGATCTTAAAGATCCTCACTTTATTATAACAGCATATTTGCTTGTCGGAGTTCAACATCTATCACACATGATCAACGTCACTTTTCGACGTGACAAACTTTGAACACCCTTACTATAAATCGACATTAACTTTTACATCTGTTGTCTCTCTAATCTTTTTCGGCGTTTAAAAACAAGTATTCTGAATGCATTTTATTTTTCAGCAGCCCATTTAAATACAGGGTGTTTCATAATATATGTTACATTTTGAAGCTTCAATTTCACAAACACAAGAAAAAGATATAGACAAGTGTTTTTATCAACTTGATGCATGTATCTATAAGATTCATTATATACCATTAACAACTAAAATATTACACACTGGACAAAATCTCAAACATTAATGAAAATTAGTGAAAGTTCTTAATTACGTCATTTTTGTTACGTTGAATTTCACAACGTCAAAAGCCCGCACTACATGTTTTAATGATCTCCACTATATCATCTACAATTGAAAGTTGCTTTTCCTAGGTCTATGCCAGTTTTTCCTGAGGGCGAAACTTCATAGAATGTTGGAAAAAGAAACCCACCCCCTCTCTGACGTCATTACAACCCCATAATTGTTTGGACATTTCATATAAATTTTACGATAAAATTTCATAGAATTTACAGAATGGGGTAAAAATTGCACATTTTACGGTACAGTTGTGTCATACCACATGGGTGAATTAACGGGGTTTTTGAATGACAAATACTCATATCAAAAAATGAGATTTTTTCTCAGTTACTCTTTGGTAGAAAAAACGTTATCTTCGAGGTTGCGCCGCTTGGACATACCATTGCTTTAAAAAACATCAACAATTTATTAAAAAATAAAACTAACGATGTATAGTTTATTATATAAACAAGTAAGATGATGATAATTAAACATTAAAGAATTCACTGATGTATCTCAAGCGGTTTTAATTTTATGGCGCTAGTCCACGAACTTTTACCTTTATTTCAAGTAGCGGTAGGAACATAATGCACACCAACTGGTTTGTCTGCAGTACATTGAGACACGTAAATGAGGCTCAATAAATTCCTTACCTCTGCTCTCTTCAAAGGCTGTCACGTTAAATGACTCGAGCATTAGTGCTCATTTGTATTTATAGTCAAAACCAAAGTGCTTGTGACCCCCCCCCCCCCCCCAATAAAATCTGACATTAGGATAGTTACTACTTCTTAATCACATTTTCTGGTCATGATTTTTAGCACTGACTTGCAAATTTAATTATCGTTAAAATCGTAATGTAACGGAAATTACGGAAGCCTTTTTAGGACCTATCATTTTTTTTAATACGATATAGCGAATTGTCGAATTTGTTAAAACGAATTTTATCCGTTAAAGCATTTTTTGCAGCCCGGAGGACCGGGCTCCTCTATACATATAAGTTTAAGTGGTATATGGGGATTGAGGTGGGAGAAGTTATTCAGAATTAAAGGTTTTCTAAACAATAAAAAGATTGTTAAGCAGAATGTTCTTTCCCTTTATAAATTACGAGATACACAATATATTTACTTCCATAAAGTGAATCTGTAAAAATAAATATGTTTTTCATATTTAATATATAAAGTTGCTTATCATTTACTATCGAAAAAAACGACAGGTCCCTTTTTTTTTAGAACATCGAATTTTACTTTTCGCATAAAAACGTAAAAAAGTACTTTACACAGTTCGTGTTTTATATTCTTTAAGTGAAAGACATTTTTGAAAATAGCTGATGCATGTATCTGGTTTCAAATTATATTTTATGCAGCCAACATTTACTTGAGGAATTGATAAAGTTTAAAAGGGTATCGTTTTTGTTCGATTTTCATCCGACTATAAGTTTTCAAAATATTCTCGACTATCGTCTCCATCATTTAGACGCATGCCTTTTTCACACATATCGAAGCGATTTGATGATCAAGACTCATTTCCATTGTTTACTTTATTTATTTCCCGGGCGACAATTGATGGTTACATCAATGTTTTCTGGTTTTGTATTGTTATAACGAATTAAATCTGTAATAACAGATTTCTTGAATTCGTTATAACGATTACAAAAAATTTGTTATAACGAATTTAATTTAAAGGGATTCTAAAATTTGTTCTAACAAATTCGAATTAAATTCGTTTTAACAAATATATTGAATTCGTTAAAACGCCTCAAAACTAGTTAAAACTAGTCCAAAAAGTGTGTGTGTGTGTGTGTGTGTGTGTGTGTGTGTGTGTGTGTGTGGTCAATCTCTCTCTCTTCACCACACTAGAAAATATTCGTCAAAACAATATATCGAAAAATGTGCAATCGTTTACAGTCCATATTGTCGCCGACAATATATGCAGATGCTTGACTCTATATTTTGTCGTTTATTATTCAGGAGGTAAATAAGGCTGTTCTCGGTATATATTGTCGCTGGCTACGATATATACCGATGGACAATACCTGCAATGAGGGTAGGTACATATTGTCGCCGACGACAATATGTGCAGAACGGTAATATGAACGGACACAGGTTACTTAATCAAAGTTTCAAAGTTTTCACTATAGAAAAAAAAAATCAAAGTTTCAAAGTTTTGCTTTTGCTACATCTAACCATAGTAAATTATACTAAAGTAAAGTAAACTATAGTATTTTTGTGATGCATTTTCTTCTGACAACTTCTCTGCTGAATGTAGACAAAAGGCAACCTACAAATTCGATATTCACAAGCTATTGGGCTTTTTTGTCACTCAGAGACTTTTTCACACATATGTGAACAAAGCAGTTCCAGTGACTACAGAGACTGCAAGGTTTGCTTTCTGCAGTCTCACAGCAGTCTCAGAGCGGTTCAACAGCAGTTCCAGATTTTGGAAAGCTATCCCTGAACTGCTCCCTGAGGCTGCGTACGTATCAGTTTATGGTTTTCTGTTGGTATTTAAATGTAGGCATGTCAGCGGATAATTGATTGATTGATTGTATGTTGTTTTACGCCCCATTCGAAAATTTTTTACTCATATAGAGACGTCACCATATACCGGTGAAGGGCTTCAATTTTGACCTTTACTCGGCACTCAGGGCCATTGAGCAGTGAGGGATCTTTATCGTGCCAATGCCTGCCGTGACACGGGGCCTCGGTTTTTAAGGTCTCATCCCAAGGACCCGCAACTTTCACTTCAAAGTGCCGAGCGCATGACGAAGGAACAGTTGCTACCCATTTTTTATCGACTTAAGTCAGTAGCGGCTGAGATTCGAACTCACGACCTCCCGATCACGAGGCGAGCGCTCTACCGTCTGAGCTACCGTGAACGGTACCAGCGGATGAAAACAATGAGTTAATTAACTACATGTAAATACATCAGGTAACCTTAAAATGTCTGTAAAGATATTTCGCATTCTTTAGTACACGAGATACATCACAATAGTGATATACAATTAAAAAAAAATACCTTGCATCCAGATCGGAAATACTGTTCCACACTGGCTCATGGCAGGTGCTGACGTCACCATGTCATTTCCCGCTCCACTGTCAAATCGGTACCATTTGGAAGACAGGAAGTTGTCGCTGACAGCGACATCTGTAGATAGTAGTGTATAGCCGCTTGAGCGTTTGAATTGTCCGCTCAGCAGTGTATACGATGTACAAGGGTCTGCAAAAACAAATGAAGATGAAAAGTGGGAAAAATGTAATCGTTTATTGCTTTTTGTAATTTTCTTGTACATTGTTTCATACTAAATATTAGATTTCCTTAATATTTTGAATATTAAATATTGAAAAAAGTATTCAGGCGAATAACGTTAACTGTAAGTATAATCATACAGTGTCAATCATTGTCAAGTTGAAAAAGATAGCTTGTGATCACACACTGATAACACATCACACCATGGTCCATTTTGCCCAAAATGAATTAGGAGACTTATAAAAAGGACATCAAATCAAAATAAAAAGACCTCATAACCTTCCTTTTATTAAACTGGCGACTGAATATAAATATTATTTTCTTCTAAACAAATTGGTTTTAAGCAGAACATTTGAAACATCGGGGAATGTTCAAAGCTTAAGTAAGCGCTTGTAAAAGGTAATTGTAACATACCTGCCAGCGTGGATTGAAGCAGACAGAGAAACGATAGGAAACAGAGCTGACAAAACATTGTCTGAAATAAAAGTAAATTGTCTCAGATTTGGAAATAGCATGAGGGTATGAAATGAAACATTTCATCAAAGAACCTATACGAAAAGAGTATTCGTTTGCTTGTATGAAAATTAAAGAAATTGTTATGTTTTAAAAACTGGAATATATAACTAATTTCTATGGTTTAAATTATAGTTAAAACATTTTCTTCAGATTAGCTGGATAAGTCTGAAGTCTCAATAAAATACTGATGATTATATAGTTATTTGAAAGAAAATATAAAACATTTGAAACTCAGTCATTAGTAATGCAATTTTGGATAAAATTTATGGTACATATTTGTATTGTTTATAGAATTTTTGAGATTGATCATATTCGTTATCTTCGCCTTTTTCATTTAAAGTGCCATCAGCACGCTTCATAATGATACAAGTACATGACTATGACTAGGGAGAACTCTCAATTAAAATTGAATATACATTTTACAACTTAAACGGGGCTGAAATGAAAATAAATTCTTCTTTGGGAATTAAAATTCTTATTATGAAATCTGAAAATAACGAACAGTTTTCAAGATCGAAGTTCATTTAGACAATACAAATCTGGAGCAGAACTAAAAACGGAAATTTGAATCAATTTATATATTGAGCATTGTCATTTTCATTAAATTTCAAATTAAAAAAAAAAAACTATAAAAATGTAAAAAGATATGATTACAAAACACAACCATTCTAAATGCTTTGCTTTTGCTTAAAAAACAGAATGAAGTTTTTCAGATCATTTTGCAATAAAATGCTGAGAAATAGCAAACAGTCATTAAAATGTAAATTATCATTTGTCAACTTAGAGAGAGAGAGAGAGAGAGAGAGAGAGAGAGAGAGAGAGAGAGAGAAGTCAGTATGTACATGTATTAACGAAAAAGACCTGTAAAGATCTTTAAATTTCTAAATAAAAAGCTCACGTATGACGACAAGTGTTTACGGTAAACACATGACTACCTCAATCAGTCAATCACCATCTTCCTTCCTTATTAATGTTTTGTAATCATATCTTTTTACATTTTTATAGTTTTTTTTAATTTGAAATTTAATGAAAATAACAATGCTCAATATATAAATTGATTCAATTTTCCGTTTTTAGTTCTGCATCTTTAAGGTCGTTTTTTTTTCTTTTTTTTTCCATCAATGGTGAATAAAGTGCAAATCAAAATATGAATATATGTATGACAGTTATAAAGTATGAAAACATCCTTATATAAAATGGATATTTATCTAATTAAAATCCATTAAATGATTCTCTTTATCTATTAATTAGACTCTGTAACTGATGTATACTTACACTTTAATTTTTTCCTGTGGTTTGTATGAACAACTTGGATACAATTTACCGATACGTGGTTGATTGAATTAACATCAAATATATATATGTTATGTTATCATTTTGACTAGCAGTTTCATATTTGCCTATTTAAAGGTAACAGTCAGGGGAATTTGCTTTCAATTTAACCAGGAAGTTCAATGATTAATTATTTGAAGACAATTAATGCCAATATTTAAAGATCCTCCGTGACTGCAAAAATGTTGTTCTATTGATAGTTGTTTTAGATCCAAATCATTGGATTGTCGAAAGGAATTTATATTTGCTGTTTCTATATTAAGAATATAGTTGTGAATTCCAAAGACTGCATTATTGACATAATTGATATAGATATTGAAAACATTTGAACAGTGTTAACTATATAAATTTTATTAGTCCGCTTTTTCTGAAAACAGTAGCTAAAATTAATTTTCCTCAACAGATACCTTCATTTTATGTCTGTCATGCAAAAATTCCATTGGTAAAGCATGATTTTGAATTACATCATGTATGAGAGCAATGAGACAAAAAGATAAACAATTTTCTAAATTTGATGATTTATAATGTATACAGGGTTATGTCTGCTCCTTGGTATTTTCGCCCTTTCTCAATTGCAAACAATTTCCCTAGTGGTAAATTCTCCAAAACACAATTGTGTTTAAGAAATAATGAAGTTATTGCCCCGTTTTGAATTTGGCCCGTTTTAAATTTACGTACTTATGACGAGGACGAAAATGAAACAGGGGACAAAATTTCCCTTTATACAGTTTGTTTGTTTGTTTGTTTGTTAAAGGTTCCTTCGAGAATTTTCACTCAAATTGAGACGCCACTACTTGCCGATGGGGGGCTTGAAATTAAGACCTGTACTCGGCACTTTGAGCAAAGGGGAATCTTTTTCGTGCCAGCACCTACGGTGAGAGAGGACCTCAGTCTCCACGTCCCGTAGCGGGATTCGAATCTGCGATGTAAGGATCCACTCCTTACTCTCTGATTCTAGAGCAAACGCCCTTACCACTGCGCCACGCGGTGTACTCCCTGTAGACCATTTGTCACTTCGTGAAACATGGAGCTGGAACCTTTAACGTAGAAAACAAAATATTAAAGTTGATTCGTGATGAAATAATGAACTTAATTATGATCTCTAAGTCATTATTTTTGCAATTACCTAGATCTGAAAGAAAAACAAGAAAAATATCCAAAGAAGAAATAGGGATTTATTACTATTTTTTTTAATTAAGCAATCGGAAAATGTACACAATTATAAACTTATGAAGAAAACGCATAGGTTTGTCATTAACCAGGATTAGAATTTATTCTGTATTTTTAGAATGTATTTATAGAATATGCATATATTTGTAAGTACATGTTTCTCAATAATTGCATTACCAAAGTGATATATAATCTGCTGTATAATAGTTGTAAAGTGCACAGTCATATAAATTCCACTTAATAGAAATAATCCCCATATGTTTAGAAATATGTTTAGAAATCTTATTCGTGCATATAACTTACAATGTCTCACTTTTGATTTTCAGGAATCTAATTTTGACTTTGTTTAAATAATATACTTAATGATATCAGTACTCTGACAAACAATATTAATGTCCCCCTGAGTTCTGGATACAAGCCTGTGGGAGTGTATCAGACATGTATTTATTGGCCTTGGATCGTTTAGAAAGCAACATTTACATGTAGTAATTTAGGCACAATTCTTTGAGTAATCATGACTTTGCCGTTTTTCAGAAATTTTTTTTTCTTATGAATTCCAATATAAAAATTTGGTACCTTTTTAAGCCCATCACTAACCATGGGTTAGTGAGAAGACCGATTTTGAATCGGAACCATGTGACGGTGGTAGCATGATAATAAGAATATTTATAGACCAGCTTGGTCTGTATAGTGCAGATAAATACATTAAACCCCTATTCATATGCAATCCTACTCTCGTGTCCATGATCTAAAAATAAATTGGTTTTTACACTATCTGACATATTTATATCAGATATTATAGCCTAGTTGCTCTTAAGAAAAAAAAAGATATTCCCTCATTTATTCTTTAGTAAAACGTTTAGCTGGCTCTTAATGTGACACCTCAATGAGTAATGTGCAAACATCAATTTTATATTTTGAATTGACTCATCATGGCACTGTAGTGAGAAATAAAACAGGCCTATGTATGCCCGTGTCAAAGTTAAATTCCTTACTGTGATAAAATCTTACACAAGGCCTTAATTTGAACAAACATGAACTTACAATATATAAAATGAAAAAAAAGTGAAGAGAACGAACAGTGACTGATCTAAAAAAAAAAAATCTGCACACTACACAAATCCGTGAAAAGGGCTTAAAACGACCCCCGGAAATTTTAAAGGTAAGATCAAGTGCCCAGAACAAAAAAAAATCCCCTGTCGACCTGTCACACACCCGTCATGATCCCTGTGTATTGACCATGTTAACTTACTGTATGTGTACGTAAAATAGCAGGCTTCATGTTTTAGCGGCTTTGGTGCGGACAACGATGCGCTTATTCATGATAACCGCTAATTAAATATTCAAAAGTTGCTGTCCTTTAAAAAAAGGACTGCAATACGTGGACCATATGTATGTGTTTCTAAACGAAATTCAAAGAAAATTTCTAGATTTAATGACTTTACAAAGGTGTAATTAAATTCAATTTTTTTTTTACATGTATCTTATTATTTTCATCGTTATTTAAGTCTGCTTAATTAGGCTGTAATGATAAAAAAAATCATGACCTTGAAATGATATAAATATGAAATATTGATCTAGGTATCTATCATAATTGTAATGTAGCCTTTAAAATTAACAACAGAATTAAAAGAGGCTTAAGCGTGCAGGTATCGTAATGGTTGAATCTTAACTCCATTGGTGGATCCAGGGAGGGGGGTTCGGGTGTTGGAACCCCCTTTATTTTTGCAGAAAGAGGAAAAGAGAGAGAATTTTTTTTTCTGAAATATATATAGATATTTTTACGTTTAGTATTTTCAATAAAATAAGTACTTCAATCCCGGGCCCCGGGCCTCGACCACCCACACGTAACATAAAAGATTTCACTTTGATATCAATGGAAGATTCCGGCGAACGTACGGCTATGCCATTTTTGGACCATCTTCTAAAATAATTAATTTAGATAAGTATGCATAAAAAGTCATGAAAGGGAGTTTCCACAAGAGAATATTTATCTCCATATATTATGGGGATATTTTAATTAATGAAGAGAAAGGTTCAAAATGTCCCCGTAGTTTGTAGGGGAAGGGGGCTCACTTTTTCCTAAAAAATAATTTTTTGTTATAATTTGAATATATGTTTTGACTTGCATTGGAAGCTCCCCGCACTTTTTGTTGCGGGAAGGTTCAAAATACGAAAAATCAAACATTTAAAAAAATCAAAATATACCGAAAGTTAGACGAAGCCCCCCCCCCCCCCCCCCCCGAAATAGGATTTTTCAGTGTTGTGCACAGGTTGTTATTTCAATTTATTTATTTATTTTTGCTTGTCAACTCTTTTTGGAGGTTGCCCCTTTGAAAACCGTTGCTACGGGCTTGAATGAAAGTGCCTGCGGTGTGACCTAGACCCCCCCCCCCCCCTTTCAGAAACTGCTGGATCCAACCCTGTACTGGAGCACTAGAGGGTCTCGGCACTAGAGGGTTTCGAGTTATCTAAAACGATGCTAGGTTATCGATCAACTCGATCAATTTGAAAACAAAAAAAGATTAATTTGTGTGTGTGTGTTTTCTCTGTCTCTTTTTAAATAACGGAATGGTTAATATACAACACATGCAATCGTAATTTCTCGGCAAAACAACGTGTTTTTCCGAGCTCGCCACTGATCATGAGAAGATGCGATTGACAAACTCATCGCACGTGTGTAGACCTAGGCTATTTGGTCTTGCAAGCACAGGTGTATGCACTGTTTGCTAGTGACGCTTAGACTGGTGATGGTATTTGCTACGGACATGAAGAACTCTACACCAGTTTCATAACAAGTGCATTTTATTTGGTGAAAATTTGAGTAAATTAAAAGTCGATTATCTTGGACATGGGGTAACCCATCTCTATTCTTGTTACAACGACCCTCAATGCATCCATGGACGAGTTCATTGGTTACTATGAAAGGTGGCACAGGTTAACCTTTCGTTAACATTTTCTGCAATGATCTGCCTACTTTGATTGATTGTACTTTCATAGCAACATTGTTAAATTTTATTCCCGATTGGCCTATATGTTGTCATTTAAAAAAATCGGGCTATTTCGATACATGAAATCCATAATGGCTAGGACTTAGACATCTGTACTAGATTTATACGGAAGATATCCTATCATTGGAAAGATAGATGGTACACGTGTAGCACAGATCTGTAGTACGCAGATTTTTTTTTGATGTTTCTCCCTCTCCCCCTCATGGAAAAACGTTGCTACAGGCCTTTATCCAGCTATATTTAGATTGCTGTCCATCAAATTATTTTTGCTAACCTTGATGCACAAAGCTAATGCCGGTAAACATGGTAAAGACTATCTTTTAAAATCAAATAGTTGAATTAAGTTTTTAATTCAACATGTTCTTGAAAGCTGTTAAGCTATCCTTATAAGTTCTTCCTACTTATTTAAAATGCTTGTTCCATAGAATTTAGTTTGTATATAAGGATATATGTATTAAAGAGAAATTCAGATCTTGATTACGCCAAAGAATACATAGATACGATGTGCAGATTTTAGAGCGAGGTTTGCTAATGATTGGCATATTCTAATTCGAAAAGGGCTTATTGTTCAAAGAGCAACTTGTCTTGGAGGCGAACTCTCTAGCATTCTTGCGCATGCGTGGCCTGACGTAAGCCCATGGCATCCGGTTTAACTCCGCTAATATATTTTCTGCGCGGATCTCAGGGTCCACGCAATAAATACAATACATGGCGCTTTTGAGTGTAGCACTAATTCATGAATACGCCAATTCAATACCAAATGATTGCGCTAAATTTGAATACGCAAATTTATGTACAGTACAGTTATATATACGAAGTCAAATTTAGTACAAAAAACAAAGGCCTAACAATTAGTATGAATCATGTCCGTAAAAAAACAACCCAATGATAGGTTATATTTGTTAACAAGGGCATTATAACTACCAAAGAATTTACGTAATGCTGGCTTTAAACGAGGTTGTTGAATTCCTAGTCACATCATTTTATCTGTCAGCAACCTGCCTCTGTTAAAAAAAAATATCGTTCTCAGACCACGCTCTTGAGTATCGAATACTTTGGGAGATGACACCATATTCTCATGAGTACCAATTGCGCCCCATTATTAGCAGACCTATTTTTGTATTCATATGAAGCAGAATTTGTTCAAAATCTTATACGCAAAAAGAAGAAAACACTTGCTGTGGCCTTCAACTCGATATTTAGATATACCGTATTGTCAATTAACAATGGTTATTTACATTCTTATGTCGACACGATACATCACAGTGAGCTTGAAACAAAAGATACCAAGATACACAGAGTCTTACACATCTGTTACATATTTGGACATTTTATTAGAAAAAGACGTTAATGGTAATCTAACAACCAAGCTTTATGATAAACGTGATGACTTTAAATTTCAATGGTCAACTTCCCTTACGTATGCAGCAATACATACCTTCATCACCTGCATACGGAGGTTATATCTATCAGTTGATTCGATACGAAAGAGCATGCTCTACGTATGAACAATTTCTGAAACGAGGTAGGTTATTGACAAACAAGTTGATGAAACAAGAATATCACCAGTCTCATTTGAAGTCGTCGTTTCCTAAGTTCTATGGTCGATGAACTTGTCAGCAAATACAATTTATCATTGAGTCAAATGCTTACTGACGTTTTTCCCGCTTAAATTGTTAGGCCATTATTTACAAACTGAATTATCGACGGATTTTTCCGTTATTTCCCGATCATGACAAGGAGCACACGGCGGGTATGACCGGTCGGCGGGTGATGCTCACTCCTCCATGGCACCTGATCCCACCTCTGATGATTTGGAGGTCCGTGTTTGCTCTGCTCCATAATTTGTCTTGTTCAATGGAATTTTGATCTTGCTTACTGTTTGTTATCTCCATACTTTACATGCAGGCGGTAGTGGGATATTACTATACAAATGAGGGTAGTTGACAATAGAACAGTTGAAGTCATCTCGTTTGTCATACAATTTAGTTGTTATTTGGCCATTATCGCCTATAATCAGTATATTATTTAAATATGAAACTTGGAATCTAATATTTCATGTTTATTAGGATATATCGAGTCGATATATGAACGGAAGTAACTATTTTTAGTTGATTAAACGTATATTTGTATGTCGACTTGAAGGCCACATCAAGTAAGTTCTTCTTCACATGTGGAAGTTTCTGAATAAATTCTGCTTCAAAGAAATATAAAAACAGGTCGGCTAATAAATGAGCACAATTATTGCCAATTAGAATTCCGATTATTTGTTCGAAGACCTTGTCTCCGTAGACTAAATAGATGTCTTTCAATAAGGAACTCCAGCAACCTTTTAATATCAACTTCAGAGTACTTGAGTGTAACATCAGAATGATTTTAACAAGTATTTTGTTGGTGACCAATTAAAAGATATGAAATTTTCCTAGTTCCGTTTTAGTTAAAGGAGCAGTTGTGTATGATAATTTTCTGGACTTTCACAATATATTTTTTTTGTCACAATATGATAATAGATTTTATGACAGTTAATTTAGTGAATAATTTGGGTCCAGCATAAATCATTTTACTGCACAAAATAACTGTGTGCAGCCTGAATAGAAAATACGAATCAAACTTAACAGTACTATAAATACTTCGAAAGAGAAAAATAAATATTTTTTTTCCTAAAAGACCTTTGGCCACAAAATATAGTTCCTCACTTCATGCTTTTGGTTTGAAATTTTAAGTGAACATAGTTTAATTGGCACTGTAGAGTCCAAATTTATTGTTAAAGCTAATATATAAAATGAGGCCCAGACAAAAAGCTGCTCAAAAGCAGATGATCGATCCTTTTTAATATTGTTTTTTACATAACAACATACTCAATTATTTTTAGAAATGACAAGTTAATTTTTTTTTATTTTGGATGAGATGATTATACACAAATTCAGTTATTGGAATTTTTATTTTATTCTTCCCTATGAACCTGTGTTTTTATTGCGACAACCAATCTGAAATGTGATCTGCATTGATAATAAAGCAGTATTTTATGCTCGGAATGGATTTTAACTCTTTAAAAAGACGACGTCATATATAAATATAAAAAAATCTATTGCCCTATTACCTTTCTTTATATTATATTGGCAACAGATAATAAATATCACCCTTACATTCAGTTCTCCCCTTTTATCGTGTTCGTCACTTACTTTCAAGTGAGACTTGGAATAGTCAATAAATTGATAGGAGAAAGAGCTGATAAAATATTTTCTGTAATATGAAACTCAATATTACTAAT